TGCCTTTGTCCTTTTTTTCTTTGGACTGCATCTTTTTTTTTTTGTGGCTTTTGTATTTCCCTACCCTCCTGTGTTTCCTTTTCTGCTGCACTGAAACTTGTTTGTACTGTGGCTGCCAAGAATTTGCTTTTATAATCGTAATTCGCTTAGACTGTTGCGAAGATCTAAAATCGCAGCACCTGATTTCTTGTTCATGAAATTAACTACTCCAGTGAAAAAATATTCTTGCAAACATTTGTCACGTTCGCTTCTCATAAATCCTTCTTTCAGTTTGAAACGCCGCATTGTATGATAAACATTTTCATCTACTTGTCAGACAAATGCTTTTATAGTTTTATTACCTGTGTTATCATTTTCATCTGTTTTCCTCTGATTAACAAGCGAATTTTGCCTATATCCTCAGGAAAACGGCGGCTCTTGCCTTACTATTTTGCCTATGGAAGAACAATGCTACTCTCCTCTCTCCTCGCAATCCTCACTCTTTTGCCTGCCGCGCATACCGACTTAACCTCGGACAGAAATGCCCTTCTTGCATTCTCAAACTCCGTGCCCCACGGCCCCAAACTCAACTGGGACCCGAATTCCCCCATCTGCACCTCATGGACTGGGGTCAACTGCAGTGCCAATGGCCAAGATGTAATCGGGCTCCGCCTCCCGGGCGTTGGGCTCACCGGGCCCATCCCTAACGGCACTCTCGGGAGGCTTCATTCTCTAAGGGTACTCAGCCTTCGGTCCAATCGGCTCGGTGGGCCCATCCCGCCCGACATCCTCTCCCTCCCCTCCCTCAACTACCTTTTCCTACAGAACAACAACTTCTCTGAAGAGATCTCTCAATCCCTCCCCCGCCAGCTCAGCGTCCTCGACCTCTCGTTCAACTCGTTCACCGGAAATATCCCGCTGGCCGTTCGGGACCTGAGCCGATTAACGTCTCTGAGCCTACAGAACAATTCCTTCTCGGGTCCCATCCCAGACCTCAGCCGGACCCGCCTCAGGCGTCTGAACCTGAGCTACAATAATCTCGTCGGCCCAATACCATCTTCTTTGCAGAACTTTCCAGATTCTTCATTTCTTGGGAACTCTCTATGCGGCCCCCCCTTGAATCCGTGCCGGGTTGCTCTTCCGCCTTCGCCCTCATTGGGCCCCACACGACCGCCTTCAGGCCCTCGAGAGAGCTCGGCCATAAGGAGACTCTCGCGCGGGATCATAATAGCCATTGCAGTTGGAGGATTTGTGATCTTGCTTATTCTTTTATCTATGTTTATATTCTTGTGCTGCTTTTGGAGGAAAAGGAACGATAAAAATCGGGGGTCCCCTAAAGTGAAGACCTCAGGAGTCGGGAGGAGTGAGAAGAAGCCGAGCGAGGAGTTCGGGAGCGGGATCCAAGAGCCCGAGAGGAACAAGCTCGTGTTTTTCGAGGGTTGCTCGTATAATTTCGACTTGGAGGACTTGCTAAGGGCTTCAGCCGAGGTTCTGGGGAAGGGTAGTTTCGGAACGGCGTATAAGGCAGTTCTGGAGGAGTCGACCACGGTAGTGGTCAAGAGGCTCAAGGAAGTTATTGTCGGTAAGAGGGACTTCGAGCAGCAAATGGAGACGGTCGGGAGGGTCGGGCTGCACCCCAACCTAGTGCCTTTGAGGGCTTATTATTATTCCAAGGACGAGAAGCTCCTGGTGTACGATTACTACCCGAACGGTAGCTTGGCGAGTCTATTGCACGGTATGATGATAAAATACTTTTGTTCACTGTAAAAGATCTTTATTTAAGAAGTATATAATAGACCAAATCTCACAGTACGTACTCACAAATTTGAGAACCAACACAGGAAACAAGTCCACCGCTGGGCGTACCCCACTTGACTGGGACTCGAGACTAAAGATCTCCCTCGGGGCAGCCCGTGGGCTGGCCCACCTCCACTCGGCCGGCGGCCCAAAACTCACACACGGCAACATTAAGGCCTCCAACATCCTCCTCACCACACAAGACAGCCACCCGGACACAACTACAGCTGCCATATCCGACTTTGGGCTGGCCCCACTTATGGCTCACCCTGGCCCGGGCCCATCTACCCGGCCCATCGGTTATCGGGCCCCAGAGGCAATCGAGACCAGAAAACACACCCACAAGTCTGACGTGTACAGCTTTGGAGTGGTCCTTCTCGAGATGCTTACTGGCAAGCAGCCGATCCAGTCCCCGGGCAGGGACGAGATCGTGGACCTGCCCAGGTGGGTCCAGTCGGTGGTGCGAGAAGAGTGGACAGCCGAGGTGTTTGATGTGGAGCTCATGAGGTTTCAGAACATAGAGGAAGAAATGGTGCAGATGCTGCAGATAGCAATGGCTTGCGTGGGGAAGGTTCCGGATTTGAGGCCCGGGATGGACGAGGTGGTGCGGATGATTGAGGAGGTCCGGTTTTCGGACACGGAAAACCGGCCGTCGTCTGAGGAGAACAAGTCAAAGGATTCAAATGTGCAGACCCCTTGATTCTTATTAATGAATGTCTTTTCTTCTCTGATATTTTTTTTTTTTTCCTTCTTTCTTCTTTATTCTTGAATTTTAGGGATTCTTGGATGTCATTGGATTTCTTTGTAGCTTGAACTTTTTGTTCGAGGCTTCATGTAAGTGTGAATTTGTGGGATGTTTTTTCTTTTTTTTTGTTTTTGAAGTTTTATGGGGATGGAGATGGAGTGTAGGTTTCTTACATAAACTGTTGAGGTGTCTTGTGTTTCATTTTTTTCTTGTGTACACTAAAAGTTTCACTTTCTTCTGTAATTTGGAGATTTACATGCAGATTCAAGATTGCTACAAGGGAAGGATGCATGATTTCTTGAACGCCTGGTTTGGTGGTTTAGTTACAGCCTTTAGTATTATGGGCTGAACCATGTAACCTACTTTTCTATTATTGGATCCACATTGGTCAAATAGGTGACAAAAAAGTTACGGTTAGGGTCACATAGTTTCGTTTTGCTCATATTCATGTTTTGGTAAGTGTTTTTACAAGTTATTTATTTGTGCATGTTTGCAGTTTATTTATTTATGTTTATTTATTTATGTGATTAAGTTCTTTTATTTTAAATTGTCGTGAAAGGATGCATTGTTATTTTCGGGTTAGCTGATATTTGATTGACGAATCACACTGGTACATCTTAGATGCATTTAAAGGACCTACGGAAAAGATAATTGAGCTAATTGTCGTGATGTAGTGTGATTTTTGAGTTAGCTGATCTATGACTAACAAATTAACTAATACATTTGACTATCTGAGATAGACTGAACAAACTTAGAGAGCATAAGATTATTTTATATTAAATAATTTAGATCTGATTATTATTTATGTGATTCACGTCGGCTTGGTCTCGACGAACTTTGTTTTCAGTCATGGACAGTTGTACGTTGCTCTTTTTAGAATCACAAATCGAAAGAGGTTTGAAAATAATGATATGTGGTGATGGTGATTCCGACGATATAAAACTATGAATGTTGTGTATAAAGAACGTTTAAAGTTATATAGAAACACTTTAATTTATTTTTTTTCATGAATTAAATTATAATCATGTATTTTGTTCTTTTTTTATATTTCTATCTTTTCTAAATATTTCCATCCGTGCTAATGCACGGGTTGATTACTAGTTTTAAATAACTCTTTTGATTCAATTTAATTCAAGTGACTTTGACTCTCTAACAACCAATCGGTTGTGACTTGTGAGGCTATTCTTATTGGTGACCCAACTTGTTGGGTCACCCACTACAAAACAACAAAATACAAAAAAAAAAAGAAACTAGCGAGCAATGGACGACCCAAGTCACATTGTGACCTTGGGTCGCCAAACACTTTTTCCTTTTTTTTTTATTTATTTTTTTTTATTTTTTGATTCCATTACTTATAAGATTATATAAGGAGTGATGGTAATTTGATAAGATAACATTTAGCAATTATTGAGTTTACTAAATATTAAAAAAAATAAAAAATATCAAAATTCGCATTTTTTCATTCTCTATAAATAGAGACCACCCTTGATATGTTTTAGATCACAACTGAAATTTCTTTCTTTTTATTCTTTTTTAATCATACCTTATTTTTAATTATAGATTTTTTAATTAATTTATCTCAACTAAAACAATAACAAAAAATCTATATTTAAAAATAAAATAAATAGTAGGTTGGGTTGGGATGGATTGGGTTGGGTTGGGTTAGGATAAATATAGTGGGTAAGGTTGAGTGGGTTGGGTCGAGTCGGGTTTTCCGTTTCACCTGCAGGGGCAAAATCCATAAAATAAAAAGAAAAGGCGTAGATTTCACGCCAAACGACCCGCGGACCGAAAATTCTAGAAATCCTTTTAACTTGGACCCCACACAGACCTTATTCTCTTCGAATCTGACCTATTTGGTTCTGAAAATCTCCATCAATTATCTCCCATCTACTTGTTCAATTGAATCAGGTATCTAATATTTCTTTTCGAGCTTAATTTTGATCTGAGATTTTGTTTTCATCGATGGTGTTGGTGTACTTTTATTTTTATTTTTGGATAATTTTATTATTTTTGTTAGGGTTTGGATTTAGCTGTATGAGTATATGAGGATCCCTGCTGATTGTGGATTTTTGTTGTTGTTGTTGTTGTTGTGAAGGTAAGGAAAGTTCTTGGTGATGGCGTCGAAGAGGATACTGAAGGAGCTGAAGGATCTGCAGAGGGACCCTCCGACGTCTTGCAGCGCTGGTATGTATGTTTGCTCGTATTACATGATACTTCTTGTCTGATATGGACCATTGGCTATGAGTTTGTTTATATTTGTGCTTGTTTAGCTGTAGTTCGAGCAGGTTCGTTTATTTTGTTTGGCAGCTAGGTTAACTGTTATGTGTTAGCTAGTTGGTTTCTTCGGGGAGATTGTAATTGTTGCAGTGGTTTTCTGTATGTTTTCCAATGTATATATTGCTGTGTACTGAGTTTGAGATTTGATTCTCGTTTTGGGTATGGCGGTTTATGAATTAGGGTTGTGTTCAGATTGCTTTGGGACCTTGAGTAGTTGTACACTTGTACTTGTGAGGGACTGGAAATTAATCATTGCTTGGAAGCGAAAGAATGAAAATAAATGATAATGGCCGACTGTTCATGGCCGTTTGAACGTATTATTGGTTATGCTACTTGTGGCTTACAACTGGTTTCTGAAGTCGAATGTGTTGATGTTAAGAATCATGTTTATAAATCCTTCTTTTGAAACTTTGAACGGTATATTACTTATTACTTGTTTTCAGTGACTCTGTAGATATGCATTACCAAGCATATAACTTTTGAGTAAAGGTTACTTACAAAATTACCTGCCAGATTTTTGCCTAGCTATAAAATAAGCAGAAGTATAATTAATGTTCATGGTTACACTAATCTTGAAATCTTTGGTGTGCTGTGTTTAACCTCTATTATCTAACAAAATTCAGGTCCTGTGGCCGAAGATATGTTCCATTGGCAAGCCACAATTATGGGGCCCGCTGACAGCCCTTATGCTGGAGGTGTATTTATGGTTTCCATTCATTTCCCTCCCGATTATCCTTTTAAACCACCGAAGGTATGGTCAGTTACACTAATTAGATGTATATTTTGTGTGTTTTTATGTTTCCTCTGTTCTCACAAATGGTCAACTGTGCTGCTATGATGATGTTGATTGTAGAAGTCATATAGTTTGGTATGTTATTGTATGAGGGCTCAATCATACTTATTTCTATCTTGTGTTATGAATTGGAATCTGGCAGTGTATCAATTGCAGTCGGCAAGAAAAGCAACTGTAAAATGATGGGCTATTTTATCTTTTAGATAGTTGATATTTAAGGGTATTTAAACTGTTTCTCTTCTATGTTTGATGGTTACTAGCGTAATGAGTTGCCATCTAGCTGTGTGTTTTGAAACCAGAACTGAACGTCGAGTTTGACTACCATGTAGTTTTGTATTATGGTTATCATATTTCATTCATGCAAAGTTGCCTCATTCCCGTAGTTAGATGAATTTTAGTTGTTTGTCATAGAATTCTGGTTAGTACTGGCTTGAACTGTGTCTAAATTAACTCTTTCATTGTTATAGCTTGCTTTTAGGACGAAGGTATTCCACCCTAACATCAACAGCAACGGAAGTATTTGCCTTGATATTCTGAAAGAACAATGGAGTCCAGCCCTGACTATATCTAAGGTTGTTATACCTTTTTCATTTGTGTCAGCACTTCACTTTTAAATATGTAATAAACTTCAGTGTTCATATGAAAAGTTTAGCTTAGCCAATTGTTTCAATTAGTGAAACTGAACGATTTTATGAGCCCTGTTATTCTGTACCATTTAATTCATTTCTCCATGATCTCTAATGTTTTTGTAAGTATTCTTGGGAGTTGTGTAGTGAGCCATTGCAAGGCTTTTTATCATGTGGACAACTGTGATTAGAAATTTTCTAAAGTATCTTTTATGATTTAAATTATTAAAATCAGGTGCTGCTTTCCATCTGCTCGTTGCTGACAGACCCTAATCCTGATGATCCACTGGTGCCAGAAATCGCCCATATGTACAAGACCGACAGGGCCAAATACGAGGCTACTGCCCGCAGTTGGACTCAGAAGTATTCCATGGGATGACGTTTGAACTTTGACATCACCTGGCGACTGGAAAAAAACTGCACGAACTTCTGCGTGTTTCATTTGTGCTTGGTTGGAAAAATAATTATTATTTCTATGCTAATCTGCTATTCTGCTTATAGTTGTTGATTCGTGGTGGTTTAAGCTGTGAATGTACTTCAATCTGCCACTTTGCTGAATATGCATAATTTGGAGACAGGTAATCGGAATCCTTTCATGTGTTTTTCATGAATGTTGTGTTCGGTGTTCGGTTGTGTTATAGTTTCCAGTTTTAGTGTAATGTAATTGTTTGCTAAGCCTTTGTACCAATCTCTATTAATTAGGTCTTCATGTCATGACAAATTTGGTGTTCTGTCCTTTATCAGTAAAACTGTTGAATAACAAATGTCGCCATCTGAAGAGATGTTCGTATTCATGAAACAGCAAGTGGAGTGACACTTACATATGCCAATTTGACAACAAATAATCAAATTCAAATGTATTATAAAAGTCGAATATAAAAATCCAATCTGGACTGTTTGGGTCACGTCGTTGATAAGCAATTGGTGAATTTATCTTCCAACCCGGTGGACCTTTCTTTGCTGCTTCTTGAAGTTATATGCATCATGAATGAGCCCATTATTGCTCATTTTCAAAACCTTGATTGCGACTTTGGCTGCTTCATGTTTTCTTTTGTTTATCACATGTTGTCTTTTTAATATAACTTCTGTCCATTTCCTTTTTTATGATCAACAACTGTTGTGTGTGTGTGTTGTTGGGTGTTTATCATCTTGAATGGGCACATCTTTGTCTTTTTCATATAATATAATATAATATAATATAATAGCTTGTAACATAAGATTATTATGTAAGTAAAAAATTGTTGTCTTATAAGTAT